TATATTTTTATCAACTTAACTTAGTCTAGTTTTCAAAACAGTAATGAATTAGAAGGCCGTTGGGAAGATGCTTCTAGTAGGAATGAGAAGTAGAGCTGATGTATGAATGATTAAAAGCAAATGTGGGAGCCCAAAACTAAGTTGTCTGTACAACCCACGTTACCCTCACAGCCTCTGGGGGCAGCATTGTCTTGCAGGATCATGATAGGGGCCAAGAAGATGGCCCCAAAGGTTGAGTGGTGGTCTATTGAGGAAGCAAAGAAGGTTATAGCTTTAGATGATCAGAAACAATGATTAAAATTAAGTCTTTGCATTTGAAGGGGCCTATTTCAATTTACTGGGTAATAAGACATATGGAATGTTTCATCCATCCTACCATGGATAAGATATTGTCGTGGAGTCAGATTTCATTAATATCTGAGATTCCTATAGTGTACCAGGCATGGTTCTAAGTGCTTTTTCACATGAGTCAAAAGCCAGATGTGGAGCTTCCTCTGTTGTGCAAGTCAAGCCCTTCTTCTTTTGTTTTGGGGAACAGGTGGAACATGGGGATAGGGTGGGACAGGGGTCAGGAGGTTAAACTGCCTACTGCCCAATCTTCACCCATAAACCCTAAATGATTAGTGTCTTTTCTCCAAAAAAAAATGGAGCCTTATTCTGTTTCCGACATTAAGAATTGAGTTTGTTTCATAACTGGCTGTTTATTTCCTACTGTCGGATTCAACAGTGTGCAGGTATTGTACTGGTTTATCTCACATATCTCTTTCTGTAGTACTCATATAATTTAACCTAGAATATATCCACACTTATGGCATATTGAGGCAATTTATGACAGACTTCTTTAACTGTACTAAACCCTTGGTATAAATAATCACTCAAGAAAGCCCTGTCACTCTGGTGTAAACAGTAATGCCTCCTTGGTATTTTATAGACGAGGCATCGCATGTAATTTCTGGGCTTATGCTTTTGTAAGTTCTTTGCATTGACTAGTTTACTGTCAACTTTCCTTTTTATTTGAGTTTAGGTCTCTTAACATATCTAACATGCAACTACCAACTGAAATTTGAAGCCAGGTCTTTTTGGGATTTTTTTTTGTCAAAGGTTTAAAAATTATTTTGACCCATGCAAGGCTTTTGCCAACAAAAGTTAAGTCCTTCGGGCTCCAGTGCCAATATCTTGTCACTGAATAGATTGGAGAATAGGGCATGCATACTCTGAAATGAAGTCTGTGGCGGGATATAAAATTGTACTTTGGAACTGGGTGCAGTGGCTCACGCCTGTAATCCCAGTACTTTGGGAAGCCAAGGCAGGCGGATCACAAGGTCAAGAGATTGAGACTATCCTGGCCAACATGGTGAAACCAAATCTCTACTAAAAGTACAACAATTAGCTGGGCATGGTGGTGCATGCATGTAATCCCAACTACTCGGGAGGCCGAGGCAGGAGATTCACTCGAACCTGGGAGGCAGAGGTTGCAGTGAACCGAGATTATGCCACTGGACTCGAGCCTGGGCAACAGAACAAGACTCTGTATCAAAATAAATAAAATAAAATAAAATAAAATTATGCTTTATAAACTGAGTTTACTTTTGTACTCATATTTTCTTATCACATTTTGTTCTCCCTTAGTATTGTATGTGGCAAATAAGTGATTGTTAGTATTAAAAAATAAAAGATCTGAAAAAAAGATAGTGTTGACAAGACAGCTGAAGGAAACAACACAAAAGAAGCACTACTGATGAGAAATATTATGAACAATTATTTATTATAGAAGCAGAGGATGTGTTTAATTTAGAATAAAGCAAGAGTGAAAGATAGTTGTCTTTTGTAGCATTTCAACTGGATTAAGTTATGGAAATTGTTCCATAACCTTTTGGGCAGTTATGTAATAGAATGTAGTTCAAAATTTTTATTTTTCTATGAAATACTTTTAGTCATAGGTGTAGCCCAAAAGTGGTGCCTGAACTTTCTAGGTTACATTGTTTAAGAGCTATTTGATGATTTGGCTGATTCTTTGGTCACAGACAAAATTTAGCTCCTGGGGAAAATGAATGGGGTCTAATATTTCCTGTCTAGAAGGTTCGATCAGTACATTTAGTCAACCAACAAATACCGACCAAACATTACCTTCTAGTTATACTAGCTGTAAATACCATAAGACATGATAAGACATGGCTCCTGACCTTCAGGGTTACTTTCTGTTCCCCTAAGTCTTGCTTTTTTTAACTGCTGTAAACCTTTGAAGTTTCCTTGAAGCCAAGGATGATGTTTTCTACTTCTGTGTACTCCTTTCACGCTTAAATTATGTGATCAGTCTAAATATTGAATTAAAAATTGTTTCAACCTCCTTGTGAGTAGGAAGTCTCACTAATTTTTTGTAAAAGTACTTGGTGCAGGGTATAATGGCATTTTGTTAACATTTGGAAATATAAGATCTCGGTTTGAGTTTGGCACTACTATCTCCTGTAAGTAAAGGAACAAGGTACCATTACTGAATTATTTTTCTCAGCAATAAATGGCAATTAAAATCTCAGCTGCTTATCTTCTTAAAGAGTAGTTATGAAGACAAAGTAAGTGAACTCACATTATACAAGCTGTAAATATGCCATATATGCTTGTTTATTAACACCTATTTGTAGTACACAGTTATTTTAACTGAATTAGAGATAATCCATCCTTAGGACTTCCAAGATTAACAGCAGGAGTCGTCAATATGCTTTATATGTGATAGATGCTGGACTTCAGGATCTGTGCTTTTGATATTATATGTCTTTTAGGGCCCCTAAATCCCTAATATTGGTGTCTGTTTCACTAATTCTGAGCTCACTAGTCATCTCTACTTGTGAGTCTAACTTCTGAAAAATCTAACATCTAGAAAGAGCCTCAGTCACTCAATAGTGGTGTTGGGACAACTGAATAACAACCCAGAATTTTAAAAGCTGGATCCCCATTGTTGTTCCTTACCCCACACAGATTCCAGATTAATGAAAGGTTTAAATGTAAAAAATAAAATTACAGGGGGACCGATCTAAGATGGCCAATCGCTAACATCTCGGGACTGCAGCTCTCAGTGAAGGCGCGGAGAACTAGACGTCGCCACACTTTCAGACAAATTCTGGTGGCTCACGGAGCAGAAGATCCCCAGTGGAGGAATCACACGGGTTGCCAGGGCGACTTTCGTGGCCGGTGCAGCTGTTCCGCCGGTGCCTCGGAGCAGAATAAACAGGTTCGGAGGACCCACAAGGGCCCCCAGCCGACACCAGAGCCCAGCGCAGCGGCTGTGACAGCATCTCAGCGTGGCAGCGCTCGGCGCAGAGTAAACGGGACCGGTTCCCCTTCTGACCAAGGTTTGGAGCCCCGGGAAGGCAGAGTCGCCCACTATGGACACAAGAAGGAAGCCAGACAAGAGAATCCTGGGCAGAAAAGCACCATCAGTTTTAACGCCGCTGCTCTGGCCCTGGGAACTAACAACCTGGACGCCCACTCAAGAGACCTAAAGTTGGTAAATTCAAAGACCACAGGAGGATAAACTTACAATGACGGGAAGAAACCAGCATAAAAAAGCTGAGAATACTCAAAGTCAGAAGCCTCTCCCTCTAAAGATGATCACAGTTCCACATCAACAATGGAACAAGGCTTGATGGAGAATGAGCACATCCCAATGACAGAAGTACTCTTCAAGGAATGGATAATAACAAACTTCAGTGAGTTAAAAGAACATGTTGTAGCCCAACGTAAAGAAACTAGGAACTTTGAAAAAAAGTTTGATGAAATCCTATTGAGAATAGACAATTTAAAGAGGAGTATGAGTGGAATAACAGAACTGAAGAATACAATATAGGAACTCCGAGAAGTTTGCGCAGGTTTAAACACTCGAATTGTTCAAGCAGAAGAAGGGATATCAGAGGTCAAAGTCCAACTTAATGAAATAAAATGCGAAGAAAAGATTAGAGAAAAAAGGATAAAAAGGAATGAGCAAAGTCTCCAAGAAATGTGGGACTATGTGAAAAGACCAAATCTATGTTTGATAGGTGTACCTGAATGCGACAGAGAGAATGAATCCAAGATGGAAAATATCCTTCAGGAAATTATTCAGGAAAATTTTCCTAAACTAGCAAAGCAGGTCAATATTCAACCCCAGGTAAGACAGAGAACACCACAAAGATATTCCTCAAGAAGAGCAACCCCAAGGCACATAATCGTTAGATTCACTAGGGCTGAAACAAAGGAGAAAATACTAAGGGCAGCCAGAGAGAAAGGTCAGGTTACCCACAAAGGCAAGCCAATCAGACTTACAGCAGATCTCTCAGCAGAAACTCTACAAGCCAGAAGAGAGTGGGGGCCAATATTCAACATCCTCAAAGAACAGAACCTTCAGCCCAGAATTTCATATCCAGCCAAACTAAGCTTCACACTGAAGGAAAAATAAACTCTTTTATGAACAAGCAAGAACTCGGAGATTTTATTACCACCAGGCCTGCTTTACAAGAGCTTCTGAAAGAAGCATTATACACAGAAAGAAACAACCAGTATCAGCCCTTCTAAAAATATACCAAAAAGTAAAGAGCACCAACATAAAGAAGAATTTACCACCAGCGAATGGATAAAACAGCCAGTTAACATCAAATGGCAGTAACCCTAAGTTTAAATCGACTAAATCCCCCAATCAAAAGACACAGCCAAAACCCAACAGCATGTTACATCTAGACCTGTTTCACAGGCAAGGATACACAAAGACTCAAAACAAAGGGATGGAGAAAGATTTACCAACCAAATGGAGAGGGAAAATAAATAAATAAATAAATAAATAAATAAATAAATAAAAAAGCAGGAGTTGCAATTCTCGTATCGGATAAAATAGATTTTAAAGCAACAAAGATATAGTGGTAAAAGGATCAATGCAACAACAAGAGCTAACGATCCTAACACCCAGATACATAGAGACTTAGACACAATGAGATAGAAAATTAATAAGGATATCAAGGACTCGAACTCAGATCTGGAACAAGTAATAAATATTTATAGAGCTCTCCACTTCAAATACACAAAACAAACATTCTAGTCAATACCACATCACACATACTCATAGGTTTAAATGAAACCGATTGGCCATTATTAATACTTTTTTTTTTTTTAAAGAATAAAGCAGTATTTCCACTCACTCTCCCTCTTTCTCTTCCTCTTTCTTCCTCTCCTTTACTTTTTTTTCTTCTTTCCTTCACTCAAAAAAAAAAGAAATCAACTTGTAAACCTCTAGATCCAGGTCGGCAATGTCTCTCTCATTGCTTGAATTCCTTCCTTCCCTTCCCTCCCTCCCTCCCCCCTTCCTCCCTTCCTTCATCCCTCCCTTCCTCAAAAAAATAAATAAATAAAATAATAAAATTATTAGGATGAACAATGGTAGAATTATCTTAAAAATATATCTGAATAAGAAAAGGTTTTCTAAGCTTAACCCACAACTTAGAAGCCATTAAGTAAAGGATAAGACCAGGCACAGTGGCTTATACCTGTAATCCCAGGACTTTGGAAGCCAAAGTGGGAGGATCACTTGAGGCCAGGAGTTCAAGATCAGCTTGGGCAACAACAAGACCCCATCTCTACAAAAAAATTAATAAATAGATTAGCTTGGCATGATGGCATGTACCTATATTACTAGCTATTTGAAGGCTGAAGCAGGAGGATCCTTTGGCTCCAGGAGTTTGAAGTTGCAGTGAACTGTGATCTTACCACTGTACTCCAGCCTGGTCAACAGAGCAAGCCTGTCTCACAAAAGGAAAGGATACATTTGGCTATTTTTCATCATCAACAAAGTCAACAAACCTACTGGGGGAAATATCTCTAATATCTCACTTTAGGCAAAGAACAGCTTTCCTTCAGGTATTTATCGGGTTGAGAAAGACCAGAGCAAGCTTGGTAAAAATTATGGGGAAAGAGATACTTATAGCCATGAGAATAAAAATCGGGGAAAACCACTACTGAGAACAACTTGGATTACTCAAAAGTTAAAATTGATGTATCTTGAATCCAGCAATTTTTTTTTTTTTTTTTTTTTGAGAGGGTCTAGCTTTGTTGCCCAGGCTGGAGTACAGTGGCATAATCACAGCTCACTGCAGCCTTGATCTCATGGGCTAAAGTGATCCTCCTGCCTTAGACTCATGAGTAGTGAGGACTACAGGCGCACACCACCATGCCTGGCTAAGTTTTAAGAAATATTTTGTAGCGACGAAACCTGAACCCTATGTTGCCCAGGCTGGTTTCAAACTCCTAGGCTCATGTGACCCTCCCACCTTGGAATTCCACAGTGCTGAGATTACAGGTGTGATCCATCATGCCTGGCCTTGTAACTTGTGTTACTATTCAAAAAATATAATAATTTTAGAAAAGGCCCAAAGAAGGGAAGACTGAAAGCAGAGTAGGGTGGGGGGTATTTCTTTGGTTTTATTTATGTATACCTCCTTCCCAGTCTTGTTTCAGTTAGGAAATAAATGGTGAATACAGCCGGGTGAGTCCTACGTTACATAAGTCTCAACTATGTTTAGACTACATTTTATGACTAAAGGAAAATTAGACTTTTTTTTTAAATCTTTTTCTTTTTTTTTTTGAGATGGAGTCTCGCTCGCTCTGTCTCCTGGCCTGGAATGCAGTGGCTTGACCTCAGCTCACCGAAACCTCTACCTCCTGGGTTCAAGCGATTCTCCTGCCTCAGCCTCCTGAGTAGCTGGGATTACAGGCGTGTGCCACCACACTCAGCTACTTCTTGTATTTGTAGTAGTGACAGGTTTTTGCCATGTTGGCCAGGCTGGTCTTGAACTCTTGAACTCAGGTGATCCACCCACCTGAGCCTCCCAAAGTGCTGGGATTACAATGGTGTGAGCCACTGTGCCCAGCCCCTATTTTTACTTTTATACAGTATTTTTACTACACCTTTTCCATGTTTACATACACAAACACTTGCCATTGTGTTACAATTACCTTCAGTATTCAGTACAGTAACATACAGTACAGATTTGTAGCCTAGGGGTCATAGGCCATACCATATAGCCTAGGTGTGCTGTAGGCTATACCATCTAGGTTTGTGTAAGTAAATGCTATGATGTTAGCACAATGATGAAATCACCTAGTGACACATTTCTCAAGCTCCTCCTCACATGGCAAGCAATGCATGACTGCATATAAAAGCTCTTAAATAGGGATTACGTTTCTAAATTAATCTCCAAAAGAAAACAGTCATTATTTACTATATATGTTTTTTTTTTTTAAAAAAGGAGCAAAAGTCTTTCATTTCAGTGGGAACTTAATTTGGGGCTAGGGTGTTTTATTTAACTTTCTTCCCAAAGTTGCAAAGTGTTTTGAAGTTTTTCCCTGTAAAATACTTATTTTAATTCAATTTAAATAAAACCCACCAAGGAAACTTCAAGATTTAAGAAGTCTAGCTTCTGGCTGGGTGCAGTGGCTCACGCCTATAATCCCAGCACTTTGGGAGGCCGAGGCGGGTGGATCACGAGGTCAAGAGATCGAGACCATCCTGGTCAACAAAGGGAAACCCCGTCTCTACTAAAAATACAAATATTAGCTGGGCATGGTGGTGCGCGCCTGTCGTCCCAGCTACTCGGGAGGCTGAGGCAGGAGAATTGCTCGAACCCAGAAGGCGGAGGTTGCAGTGAGCCTCGATCATGCCATTGCACTCGAGTCTGGGTAACAACAGCAAAACCCCGTCTCAAAAAAGAAAGAAAAGAAGTCTAGCTTCCTGTGAAATGTGAGAGGAAGTCAGCACTGATTTCAGAAATACAATTATGATAGGTCCATCCCAAATGAGGTGATTCTTGGAATCCCTTCAGTTTTTTTTTTTCACTCCGATCCCTTCCATTTTCAATTTAATTTAATTTTTTTGAGATGGAGTTTCCCTCTTGTTGCACTCCAGGCAGGGAGTGCAGTGGCGTGATCTTGGCTCACTGCAACCTCTGCCTCCCGGGTTCAAGTGATTGTGCTGCCTCAGCCTCCTGAAAAGGTGGGATTACAGGCATGCACCACCACGCCCGGCTAATTTTGTACTTTTAGTAGAGACAGAGTCTCACCAAGTTCGTCAGGCTGGTCTCGACCTCCTGATCTCAGTGAGCCGCCCACCTCAGCCTCCCAAAGTTTGGGGATTACAGGTGTGAGCAACGGGTCCCAACCCTACTTCAATTTTAAAACCATCGCTATGCACCATATGCCTATGTCAGACACTGGAATAAGATGAAGCACTTTCGGCAGTAAGATCGAGCGAGGAGCCCAAGAGCAAGCGCGCAGCCTGAAGCTCGAGTTGCCTCCTCTGCGAGACCCCACCTCGGCCGCCGCCACCTGTGTCACGGGATCTGCCCTGGCCTCCTCAAGTTGCTTCCGCCGCAAGACCCCACCTCGGCCGCTGCCGCCTGTGCCGTGAGATCTGCCCCAGCCTCCCTGGGAGCGAGCCCCGGCCGCCGCGACCACCAGCCTCGCTAATCGCTGACCAACCGCTACCAAGGCCCCGGAGGAGAGCGGAGGAGGCATGAGCGAGGCGGCTGAGGCCACCACCACCACCCTCCCACAGGCTCTGGTGGAGGGGGCCACTGCGGCTCCCCAGGACCCCGCGCCCAAGAGCCCTGCGGGCAGCGGTGTGCCCCAGGCTGCGGCCACGGGTGTCGGCCACAGGAAACCCCTGTGGGGACGTGGCCGCCACCTCTTTAGCCACCGCCACCGGCAGCGAAGATGCAGAGAAAAAAATTCTCACCACCAAAGTCCTTGGCAATGTCAAATGGTTCAACATCAGAAATGGATACGGATTTATAAATCGAAATGTCACCAAAGAAGATGTATTTGTACATCAGACTGCCATCAAGAAAAATAACCCACGGAAATATCTGCGCAGTGTAGGAGATGGAGAAACTGTAGAGTTTGATGTGGTTGAAGGAGAGAAGGGGGCAGAAGCAGCCAGTGTGACTGGCCGGGATGGAGGTCCCGTGGAAGGGAGTCGTTATGCTGCTGTTCAGCACCGTTATAGACATGGCTGCTATGGAAGGTGCCGTGGCCCTCCCCAAAATTACACTGGGGAGGAGGAAGGGAGCAGCGGCAGTGAAAGATCTGACCCCCCCTCCCCCCGCCACTGATAGGCAGTTCTTGCGGGCCCAGAATCAGCTGCACCGCCCCCAGTATCGCCCTCAGTACCGGCAGCGGCGGTTCCCACCTTACCATATGGGACAGACCTTTGACCGTTGCTCACGGATCTGACCTCATCCCAACAGAATACAGGCTGGTGAGATTGGAGAGATGAAGGATGGCGTCCCAGAGGGAGCACAACTTAAGGGACCGGTTCATCGAAATCCAACTTACCGCCCAAGGTACGGTAGCAGGGGACCTCCTCGCCCATGACCTGCCCCAGCAGTTGGAGAGGCTGAAGATAGAGAATCAGCAAGCCTCCAGTGTTCCAAACCAGCCGTCTGTTCGTTGTAAATACCGGCATCCCTACAATTACTGGCGTCGCCCACGTCCTCCTAACGCTCCTTCACAAGATGGCAAAGAGGCCAAGGCAGGTGAGGCACCAACTGAGAGCCCTGCTCCAGCCACCAAGCAGAGCAGTGCTGAGTAACACCAGGTTCCCCAGACACCTTCACCATCGGCAGGGTGACCTAATGAATTAATGACGATTCAGAAATAAAGGAAAAAGCAGCCCACGACCTTACCAACACCAAAGAAGCATCTAAGCAATAAAGTGGAAAACTAACGAAGATTTGGACATTGCAATGTTTACTGTTCTTCTTTTTTTTTTTTGAGACGGAGTTTCACTCTGGTTACCCAGGCTGGAGTGCAATGGCTTGATCTCGGCTCACTGCAACCTTCGCCTCCTGGGTTCAGGCAATTCTCCTGCCTCAGCCTCCTGAGTAGCCGGGATTACAGGCACGCGCCACTGTGCCCAGCTAATTTTTTAACTTGCTACCTTCAACATGTATCAATATGGGCCAAAAAGATATTTTTTCATCAACATTCTAATGTGTTTCTAGATTTTTTTGGACTGATTTCCCAATGTATTAAATATCAGATTATATCTCAAACTCTATTTGGCATGCAAGAAAACAACTCTAAACTGTACTACTGGTTATTAATAAGTTTAACTTCATTCACATCAAGTATCACACGAATGCTACCTAACTGGCTAAGACCTGAAATTAAGCACTGATTAACCAATTCTATAGGCTTGTCAAGTGACGTTTGTTCAATTTCCAAGTGTCCTTCCTCATACTGATCAAAGTGATTACCCTGAAAAAAGATGATTACAGATATTTTTCAAAAACAGTAAGTCAAATTTATTAACAGCCTAACCAAACTCAGGGTTATTTTAAACTTTTCTTTATTATTGTTATTATTTTTACCTAAAAAGACACTGCAATAATTCTTTTTCAGTAGGCAATCAAAACCACACCACACAGTCGGGCGAGGTGGCTCACACCTGTAATCCCAGCACTTTGGGAGGCCAAGACGGGCAAATCACGAGATCAGGGGTTCGAGACAAGCCCAACCAACATGGTGAAACCCTGCCTCTACTAAAAATACAAAAATTAGCCAGGTGTGGTGTCACGCGCCT